ATATCTTACACCTCCAAAATATTCGGAGCCTTTGCTACATCTACTCTTTCATGCCAGTTCTCTCGAGTATTCTTCTCGCACTTTCATTCTTCATACCGTGTCTTTCTTTCATACAATAACGGGTGGGGTGCCCGCCTAGTTTCCAACTATCTAGCCTATGTCCTTATATGTAGTTACAGTGGGCAGGGTAATAAATTCTTAACACATTTTCTTTCTTTTTTCACATTTTCTATCCTACTACAATTTTTTACTTTCCTTATTCTAGTACAATCTTATCCTTATTATTCTTATTCTATTACATTCTTATTTCATAACCTAGTTTAATAACGTTGACACTTCTCATGAACTTATCCTACTTAATTAATTTTTAGCGGCTAATACAATTATATGTTACTCTTAAATATATACAATATATTAGAGAACATATGTTTATTTTACTGTTTTATTTCTATCATTTACTTTTTTCACAATATATTTACAAAAGCTCAGAAAAGTTGCTCTGTTTTTGCTTGCCATTATGTTGACTAAGTTATCGACCGACATCTTGGATTCCAGTTCTTGCTCTACATTATAGCGATCTAGGGCGTATATCGGGCATTCAAAAAGGACGTGCGGAAGGTGTTTTATGATCCCGAGATTTTGGACTGCAGGTGCCCAAGCGCTGGCGGCGTACGTCATTATGGGTTCCACTGCGGCGACGTAGATGGTCCTGATAATCTCGGGGTGTAGGCCCCAACTGACCTTTGCAGCTCTAGACAGCTGTCTTTGGATGGCAATGGCTTTTTTGCTTATCTCTGCGACATGCGCGTTAAATGTTAGTTTGCTGTCTAGAGTGAGTCCCAATAATTTTACCTTGTTGGTCATGCCAATCTCAACCCCTCCCATGCTCAGGCGTGGTGTGTCATATTTAAGCTTGCGCGTAATAATCATGGCGCTCGTCTTATGAGCCGCGAACTTAAGCTTATTTTGTACACCCCACGCCTGAACATGTTCGAGGGTGGCATTGGCACGGCCTTGAAGTTCCAGGGCCGTATCCCCCTCGAATACCAGAACCACGTCGTCAGCAAACGCCTGACAGTAGTCCCCTCTATTCTCAAGACTTCTCAACAAAGGGTCGAGCAGGAGGTTCCAAAAGATAGGTCCGGCGATGGATCCCTGTACACAACCTTTGGTTGTGTTTGCGCAGGCCACTGTGCCACCGTATCTCACCGAAACGCTCCTATCCGCGAGGTAGTCGTCGATGACCCGCCTGATGTTCATCGGGCATCGCTCCTCCGCCAATCTAAGCCTGATTGCAGGCCACCAGGCGTTATCGAAGGCTCCCTCTATATCCAGTGAAACTAATACCAGTATTTTCTTCTCATTTAGTTTCCCGCGGATGTACTGCATTAGGGTATAAAGGGAGTCTTCGGTACTCTTCTGGGGCATGAATCCATATTGGCGGGTACTTAAACGTGGTAGGAGATAAAACCTCAGGCGGGCCACCAACATCTTCTCGTATATCTTGCCTAGTACCGGGAGGAGTCCAATTGGCCTATAAGATTTCGGAGCTGTGTAGCTCTCCTTGCCCGGTTTCCTAAGCACTATGACTACCGCTTCCTTCCACAGCTTTGGGAAGCATTTGTGCTCGAGGCATTTGTTAAGGAGTCCCAAGAACAGATCTGGGTCGTTCTCTATGGCCTTGACGCAGATGTCGGCTGTGAATCCATCACCTCCAGGGGCTTTTTTGGGGTTGAAGGACCTTGCGGCCGCTTCCAACTCCATTTTGGTGAAGGGTGGGTCGAATGTCTCACCATCCTCTTCATCATTCACCTTTCCAGCCTTGTCGCGGATCTGGTGATGGACTGCGTTATCGTTCTCCCTTGTATCTCGCGGGTAAAACGTATTCGCGAGTAATCTTGCCGAGCCTTCTGCGTCAAGTGTTCTCCCGTTCTCCTGCAACGGTAAGTCCTCCTCCCTAATGGTTGTCCTTGTTAGGACCCTATGGATTCCCTGCCACATTCCCTCCTTTTCCTGCCTCCCGCAGAACTCCTTCCAACTTTCTGTCTGGGCCTTCACAGCCTCAAGCTCATACTTTTCTTTATGTTCCAGATACTCCCTGACTACCTTGGCTCTTCGTATGGGTGCAGCGTTTCGAACTCTGCGTCGTTTCGTGGCGACCTCCTTCTTCAATTTTGCGAGCTGTTCGGACCACCATGGCATGGTAAGTACCTCTTTACTTTTCTTTCTAGGAATTGCGTAGTCGCACGCTTCGGCGACTGCCTTTGTGTAATTGTTGATAG